GTGACAAGTGTGATGTAATTCAGAAGAACGGGCATAGATGGCAGATAGTATTGCAGTGAATATGAAACTCATCCTTAGGTGTGGGGCCCCTTTCAGGGTTCGCAGCTCGTTTTTCATGCACGTACCTCACGTTTCGTCCACTGGTTCATCGGGTTTATAGCGGTGATGAAGGTAGCTGCTGGCACAAATCATGCCAATAAATAATACATGCATTAAGGACTACATTATGTACAACAAAAGTGATTCGGTGTGTTTGATTGGCGTAACAAATTGTGATGTCCACAGGTCCAGAGTAAAATGTCCTTGAATCGAGCCTCTAGCTCAGTAAACACTATGATATATGCATGCGTGCTTCATGGAAATAACGCCAGTAACCAGGAAGTAAATGCGCGACAGAAAACCAAAGCTTCGGAAAGTATTCAGTCAGGTCGAAATTACAGATGATGGTATGACTCACACTATACAGCTTACACGACAGACGGTCCGCCTGAGTTGTCTTACACACCATGAACCGTAATCCGACAAGTCCAGAATAAAATACGAATGCGACGCTGGAGAATGCATCCATCCCCCAGACCTGAGTAAGACAAATCGACCACATCGGAAGTCCTACAAACATGGACACACGAGCTGGAGAAGGATGTGCGATTGGCAGTGTTCGTCTGCCTATGGAGCGATCTCCTTCCTGGTCTTTGAAGTCCTGTGCTTGGAGCGTGGTGGCAAACATGGCAATGCTAAGCAACACAGCTAAGAGAGCATTAGGCTCTAGCCGCGACATATCTCTGCCTGGTTGCGACGGTCAGTAGGTGTTGTCTTATCTGATGTCAGCTACATACCTGCAATGAGGGTGGCCCCGGCCTGGAAGCAAGCGTATCCTAAGCCAGTCATCAAGTTTTTTGAAAACCAATGATGGCTATGGACTTTGAATTCATTATACCAAAGAGTGAGCACAGTTATCGCTAGGCTTGCGCTAAGCACTTGGACGCTGTAGAATGCTGATGATACCAAGCATGTGGGGACCAGGCACCAGCGTAGATAGATCGCGTCTCGCAAACTGATGTATCCCGCCGGTATTGGCCGGCTAGCTTTATTCCTGCCATCTTCTGCTGGATCAATTATTTGATTCGCAACGTTGAAATGGAGGAGGTGAAGCCAAATCCACCAAACCACATGAACACACCGATAGGGGCTGCAGAGGGGGGCTGCCACCAGTGCGAAAAGTGTCTGCATTCATGATCTCAGAACAGGAAGTCACTGGAAGACGCTAGTATTTACCGTTGGAATGATCGTCGTCAAAATGTCATTCTGCGTGAAGAGATGGAGCGTCAACAGAGATTTCGAGATGGCTCGTCCAAAAACAAGGGCGCTCATGATTTGGGAGATTGTAGCACATATCCCATATCCTTAATAAATGTTGTTGATCAGGAGAAGCAGAACCAAAATTAGATGTTTGAGCTTGATCAGAGGCACTGTGCGAAAGTACGGAAGGGTTCAAAGAAGCTCGGCTGCACGTCCTGAATAGGGCGGGAAGAATGATCTTGTTCTATGCCAGCCGTTCGACAGGGTGGGTTTTCTCGGGGACCTACGAAATAACTGTCAGCTCGGAGAATTGTTCCTACAGGATAGCGACACGAAGTGGTGCGGATGGGCGGTCCGAGCGCCAAAGAGGAAATAGGACTGAGGATGACCACGCATACCAGTACAGATCTTTTCCGATTCTTGTAGCATTGTGGACGGTTCAGGACCACTTCGGGAAATTACGTCAACAATTGCCTAAGGGCATGTGAACAGGCAGAGTGTTAGATGATGTACAAGAGGCAGCTTCCGCGCTGATTTCCAAAGAAATTATGGTGTATGAGATATCGTCAGCCGGATAACATCAGAACACGTGCATGTGGATGTGGTCCTTGTACGACGTACACATAGTAGTATTGTAATATATGGTCGCACGGTCGCTCGAATTTGAAATTGTGCCAGCTGTCGTCAACTTGACCGTGGATTTCATACACGACAGCACGCACCAACTCCACTTCGCAGGCCGGTGATACGGATCGCTCCGATGAAATATCCTAGCAACGAAATAAAAGTAGTCATTGAACAGTCAGCTTGTATAAGATGAACGTCTTGCAAACATACCCCTTTTAACCGATGTTAATGGAGGACTTAGGCGTCTCCACCGATAACAACATAGAGATGCGGCTCAGGCGCCCTTCAATCGCTGTCAAATCAGACATCAGAGCGGCGTGCCTATTTTCCAGCGATTCAAAGATGTTCTCGTCGCTTTGCAGATTACTGCTCGCCGTAAATGTAGTAGAGGGGAGGTGTAACAAACGAGCAGAATAGGATCCAGACATTGTGGGTGTGACGCTTCTTCGGCTGAGTATGGACATTGCAGAGCCGGGGCGTGGACTTGGGCTGGGACTTGGTGGTCCATCCGACTCGGTTTCTTCTGCTTCCTCGGATACCGAAGCAACCACCACGGCTGGGAAGTCATCGGAGTCATAGGTTTTGTTGGTAATAATGGGCTGGACATCAAAACGCAGCTCTTTTCGGACGGTGTTTGAGAAGTTTTGGCCAGAGGACTGTATCAAGCGCGGCTTGCGGCCGCTGGCGAGGACTTTTTTCCTGGCGCTCATACCGATGCATTCCACGAGTTGCTTCATGGCTTCACGATCTGAAACAGGCGCGCCGCTGAGTTGTACGCCGAACAGTGCCCGTGCGGGGAAGGGTGTGAAATGCTGAAGAACTATGGGGACGAATAGGTGTTGCAAAAGCGGAGAAATGCGTGGGAGCGCTGGAAGCTTTGAGTGGTAGATGAGGACTAGATTTCCCGGAAGTGACCTGTAAAGGCTGAGGGGTGGCCAATCTGCCTGTCTCGTATTTTCGAGATGAATTGGTTGGCAGAAGGAATACGTCCTCAGTAGGACCCCACGAAAATCCGATGAAGGCCGACTCGGCTCGGGGAGATATATGATGAGGCGTGTCCCGCAAAATTGATATTCCAAGCGAAGTGTTTGGGGAAGAATGAAATAAAGCAGAGAACGCAAAGGGCTCCGAATTTTCTTCATCCGTGGGATCCGGGAGCTCTATGGGTGAGACGGGTGCTACTGATGCAGAATATGTGAATTGCGGCACATGGATGTCAGACGGTGCAGAGCCTACGCAAGAAAGAATGGATATAAGGAGAACTGTTGATATCCAAGACTCACGCGAATCTACACAAGACCAGTCTGTGTTTCCGAAAAAACTGGTGCTCTGTTATTTCTAGCACGCTACATCCCAAGACGATGATGCCGATCAGTGAGAAGTCTGTATCCATGTTGTTTGAGTGATGGCAGCATGAATAACTGCACAACAGACCTGCTAAGTAACTCCTGTAGTTTTTCAGAAACGGGAATTGCTACATTGAAGCGCAAGCTCGTCTGTCCAAAACGAGGGGTCAATGTAGGTACAAGCGAGATCTATGACACTGCAGTACCTGGTAGTCCAAAATCCTCAGATAAGTAGTTCGGATGTCTTTAGCGAAGAAAGGGGCCACTCCATATGTCAATTCGTACAACATTGCGCCGAGGCTCCACCAATCGACCTCCGAGCCATACGAACCAGCCTCCTTGGAGACTGAAAGGAGAAAACATTGTCGTCGATAACTCCAGCGCAAGGAGGGCATCTTCATGGGCTTGCAGAACTTCGGGAGAAATGTAATCACAAGTACCACAAGGACAAGGGTATATTGTTTCGGGACTGACTGGACTCCCGTCAGGCTCCGGAGGTGAAAGAGGCGCAGCAGAGCCGAAATCTATTAGAAGCATGTGATTGCTTGCTGTAAGAACGAAGTTCTGGGGTTTGATGTCACTGCATTGCGTTGATATGGGTACGGAATACTAAAGGGTGGCCCTCACCGATGTACAAAACCCTGGGAATGACACCAGTTGATGGCGCAGACTGCCTGAGGAGCCCACCAAAGTAAGTCTGCCTCATGAACTCTACCTTCAGGGCTCGACTCAAGTACATCCCATAATGTACCTCCTTCGGCATAATCCATGACAATGTTGAGGTGAGTGGAGGTCTGGAATGCACAAAATAAGTGCGGAGCCCCACGCAGAGCGCTCACGTTTCGCGCGCAGAAGAATATCCCGTTCCAACTGTGGAGAGCATTGCTGCAGAATTTCTCAGTATGGAAAAGCCGTTGATGGTAAAACAAGTGTTACTTCACGAGTCCGCTGGGCAAAATATTTCTCAATAGATTGCGAACATATACACGACCATTGAGCTGGCACGTCACTACGTCAATCTGAACAGACAAATCAGTGTATACGCAGCACATGTTCTTTACGCACTTACCATTCCGAATTGGCCATGGTCCAGTGTGCCCATCACGATAAGGTCACCATCTGAGAAACGGAGAGATTCTATCTCTGCAGTTCTCGCTATTTCAGCGGAGGTTGTGAGTTGAATACTGTCAAAATGCGACCGGCTCTTACCAGTCCTTCCTATGATCCGCTGACCATGCAAAATACGATCCAAGGCAAGGCCTTCTTCATCATCATCCAAGCTATTGAGTAACGAACCCAACAATGTTTTCCGTTTTGTCCAGGATAGAGACATGCATTAGGTCGAAAGTGAAAGAAATATCGTTTCTGGCTCCTAAAGCTAGAGAGGGTGAAGGAGATGATTCCAGGATGCTACAGACCAGTCGTATCTAAGTCTAAAAGCTGTTGTTGATTGTGTTCCTGGAACACGTTCCTTCGACTCGGCTTTTTGCGTGATCGACTTTAAACTCGTCCACACAACATTGACAACTGGGTCAACATCAACGTTGATATTCACCATGAAGCTTGTAAGGTGAATATCGCGCTTACTTCTATGATATTGAACTGACCCCAGAAGTTTTCACTATTCGAGCATTGCAAGGGTCGGGCGCTGACCCCAAGTTGTTTTCATCAGATTCTTGATGAAAACTCAATAATGAGACTGTGACCATCGAGCTCAAGATGGCTCCCTAGTCCATGGAACAATCACTGGTTCGTCTAATCGTCTCATTTACTCAAGTTTTACAACCCTCTAATTATTTGCAGGTGTCGATATGCAGATGAACACCCACGTCAAAACTGTCAAGATGACAGCCCGTAATCGGGACCCAACATCCCTCGACTCCCTATCTTCGGTAACAACATCCGGTATTTCGCGCTCCCTGATGCACTTCCTCTAGATACCCTCTTAGTGGATGACGCGCCGAAGCCAAAAGGCAGGAAGAAGGAAGAGCGACGCGAAAGGGGAAGGGGACGAGGGATGGACCGTGGGCGTGGTCGGGGAAGAGGTCGAGGAAGGGGTTTCTGATGGTAAATACCAGGCTCATTGTGAGACGAAGAGCGCGCGTAGGGTACACCACTCAGCAGATATAAACCCCTCTATGTATAGCTAAACGCCTTGTGTCTTGTCCCTCTGAAAAGCGGGTTACTACTTTCAGTAAGAT